CCCCAGGGGACGATGTGCCGGGCAGGGTGGACAGCTCGGGGACACCAGCACAGGGCTGGACAGCCTCCCCTGCCCAGAGTCTCTGGGCACCGGCCATAGGATGGCACCAGGCTGTGGGGAACCTCCCTGAGAGCTGGGGGGTCTTTCCATCTCCCAAACAGAAGGAGTTTGGGATCTGCCCGAGCTCTTCCAGCTCCCACAGGAGCAGTTTTGGGATGAGAATCTCTCCCCTCTTACCAGTCAGTGTTTCCGTTTTTCATTTCCAGGGGAACGAGGTGCAGCACTGGGTGAGTCTCCATCATCTCCATCATGACTTGGGCTCCTCCGCCGGGTCCTCTGTGCTCGGCCCTTTCCCCCCTGGCCCGTCCTCTCCATCCCTGCGTCCCCCAGTCCAGGGGGAGTAACCAGGGGATGATGTGCCGGGCAGGGTGGGCAGTTCGGGGACACCAGCACAGGGTTGTCCCCTCCCCACTGCCCGGAGTCCCTGGGGACCAGTAGTGGGACGTTGCCAACTCTTGTCTCTCCTTGTAGGTTGGAGAAAGTTTCTGCTTCCTGAAAATCCAGGTAATTGGGTATTTTATTGTATTTTATGCATGTTTCTCCTTCCTTTCCCTGTCTGTGAGCGGGACCTGGGCTGGGCAGTGGAGGGACAGCTTTAAAGTGAAAGAGGGGAGATGTAGACCAGATATTAGGGAGAAATTCTTTCCTGTGCGGGCGGTGAGCCCCTGGGGCAGGTTGCCCCGAGAAGCTGTGGCTGCCCCATCCCTGGAGGTGTTCTAGGCCAGGTTGGACGGGGCTTGGAGCAACCTGGGCTGGGGGGAGGTGTTGGAAGTGGAAGGGGTTGCAACCAGATGATCTTTAAGGTCCCTTCCAACCCAAAACCTTCTGTGATTCCATGACTGAGTTCTGCCCCTGACGCTCCGGCTCCTCCTGTCCCCTGCAGGCGTGGTGACCCTGGATCCAAAGACTGCTCATCCCGCTCTTGTCGTGTCGGAGGATTTGAGAAGTGTGGCACGGGAACGTGAAGAGCAGGACATGACCGACACCCCGGAGAGATTTACAGTTCGCTGCTGCGTGCTGGGCCGGGAGGGGTTCCGGGAGGGGAGACATTGCTGGGAGGTGGAGGTGGAGGCGGGAGGTAATTCGTGGTGGGCTGTTGGGGTGGCCAGGGAGTCTGTGGAGAGGAAGAAGTACGTGGTCCTGAGCCCTGGAGCGGGGATCTGGGCGGTCGAGCACTGGGCAGAGCAGTTCAAGTCACTCACTTCTCCTCCCACCGTCCTGTCCCTGTCCCCACACCCCAGGAGGATCTGGGTCTGTCTGGACTGCACACAGGGGCTGGTGACCTTCATCAATGCCGACAACGGGGTCGAGATCTTCACTTTCCCCCCCGCTGCGTTCAACGGCGAAACCCTCCGCCCGTGGTTTTGGGTGGGGACGGAGAAAACCCATCTGCGCCTCAGGGGTGGCACCTCTTAGATGTTCTCCTTCTACCAATTCCCCCCCTCCAGCAGATCCTGCCCTTCTCCAGCCACCCCCTGCTCTCCTCTCCTGCCTCCCACCGCAGCGGATGTCCCTCTCTGCCCTGCCCAAGCCCGGGGAGCAGAGGGGGAGTGAGGGGAGGGGGCAGAGGGGCTGCCGTGGGGTCCTCGCTGGTGCTGGAGGAGGGCTGGGGGGGCTTGCGAGCAGGGGGGTGTCCTCCTTCCACCTCTGGTGGAGTTCCTTTCCTTCCGCTTTGCATTTGGTATGAGAACGACGTCGATGGCGCAGAGTTTTATACGTTGCTGAGAAATGTTTTGGAAGACCCGCTCTTTGGTGGTCCTCATCTCGTTCCTCGCGCTGATCGGCCAGTTGGCGCCTCTCCTCCTGTCTTCGACGCTGGAGGGGAACCTGGGTTTTGGGTGAAGGACCCGAACCTGGGGAAACAAAACAAGAAACCACAACTCACAGCCCACCCCTGACTCAGGGGCTGGAGGGGGAGAAGCTGTGGAGGTGGAACCAACTACCAACCATCTGTTTCCCGTTGATTTGCCGCAGGAAGCCAGGGGCGGGCAGCAGCCTCAGTGGGGGTGATGCCGGAGCTAATGGCACCGGCTGGCTCATCCTGACCCTCCTTCAGGTGGACGGGTTCTTGGTACGTCAGAAACATCTTGGAAAGACCTTTCTGGAGCCATCCAAACCATGATAACGAAGGGTGGGGATCTCCCGCACAGACGTAGCCCAATCTGGGGAGGGAAAGACCCATCCCAGTATACCCAGTTGCTGGGAGCTGCGTTGTGAGGATTGAAGGACGTGCCGTGGGCCAGGTGGGAGGATGGACATGTTGCCCAAGGGCAAGAACAAAGATCTCAGGGAACGTTCAGGGTTTGCACCATACGGCTGTTTGTTATTGTCCTCTGTTTTCCCCTCTCAAATAAAAAAAAACAAAACTCCCAGAAAGCACAAAAAAAAAAAAAAAGAAGTCATTTCCCTCCATCCTGGCCTTTCTGTGGGTCTCTTGTCTCCCTGAACATCTCAAGATGTTTAACTCTACCTTGCAGCGGGATGGAAGGATTTTCCCGGCACTGGTGAGACCACATCTGGGCACTGGGTCCAATCTGGGACTCCTCAGAGTGGGGCTACAGGGCTCCAAGCCGCATTATAGACACCCTTAAGTCCCATCCAGCCTAAATTATTCCCCGATCCCCTTCATGGTGACTTCAGGACCACTTCTAACGAACCATCACAAAGTACCAGGCTGGAAGGGACCTCAAGGAGCATCTGGTCTGACCTTCCTTGGCCAAAACACAGTCTAGATGCCCAGCACCCTTCAAAGTGGCCAATGCTTTTACTCTGGTGGGATCTCCACCTCCTGTGGTGGTGGTGATGGTGGTCATGATGATGGTGGTGGTGGTCACGGTGATGGTGGTGGTGGTCATGGCAGTCGTGGTGATGGTGATGGTGGTCATGATGATGGTGGTGGTGGTCACGGTGATGGTGGTGGTGGTCATGGCAGTCATGGTGATGGTGGTGGTGGTCATGGCAGTGGTGGTGGTCACAGTGGTGATGGTGGTGGTCATGATGATGGTGGTGGTGATTGTGGTGGTCATAGTGGTGGTGATGGTGTTCATGGTGGTGATGTTGATGGTAGTGGTGGTAGTGATGGTGGTGGCGATGATGGTGGTGCTGGGGTGTCCCCAGCAGCTGTCCCTGCAGAAGCCGAGCCCAGGCTTTGCCTCGGTGGCCCTCAGTGGCTCCGAATCACGGAGGACCGACCCACCAGGTGGTGTCAACCTCCCTCCGTAGGGTGGACACCAGAACCCGGGTGACCACCAGCCCCACTCCAGTGACAACTTATATCCTCATCCGGGCAGCGAAGGCCACAACCTCCCCCTCCACCCCGCGTCGCCCTCCGCCACCGAATCCCTTCCGGAGAATATGAACAGAAAGGGAAAAAAATAAAATATTTTAATTTTAAAAAAAAAAAAAAAC